TTTTTCTACGGTTTCGGTGTCGGCGGCGAATACCCCATCACCGCTACCTCCTCCATGGAGAATTCAGTTACTGCCGGCCGCCTTTCTACTCGCGAGGATCGTCTTCACCGTGGCCGCAAGGTCACCATGGCTTTCCTGATGCAGGGTTGGGGACAGTTTGTTAACCAGGTCGTCCTCATCGTTCTGCTCGTTATCTTCAACCGCGGTTACGGCGATGGTCCCTACTCGCAGACCGCCGCTCAGTACACTTTCCGCCTGTCCTTCGCGTTCCCCGCCATTGGCACTCTCTGGCTTGTCTACTACAGGATCTGGAAGATGCCTCGTGCGAATCAGCAGCTCGCACTTGCCAAGAAGAAGCAGGGCGTTACTGGCTACGACATCAATGCCCTCAAGTACTGTTTCCGTCACTTCGGTGGCCGTCTACTCGCCACCGCCGGTACTTGGTTCTGCAACGATGTGTTCTTCTACGGCAACAAGCTCTTCCAGAGCCAGTTTATCTCTGTCATCTCCAGTAACCCCGATTCCCTGTTGACCAAGTGGACTTGGAGTTTGATCAACGTCGTCGTCTCCCTCGCCGGATACTATCTCGCCTCCCTTTTCATCGACAACAAGCTTTACGGTCGCAAGATGATGCAGCAAGTTGGCTTCCTGATGTGCTTCGTCATGTTCGTCATCCCTGCATTCAAATACGAGTACTACACCAGCCCCGCCGGCATCAAAGCCTTCCAGGCCATGTACTTCATCAGCTCGTTTTTTAACCAGTTCGGCCCTAACTCCGTTACCTTCCTGGTGGCTGGTGAGGTGTTTCCCACCCCCATCCGTGCCAGTGCTCACGGTTTCTCTGCCTGTATCGGCAAGGCCGGCGCCCTCCTCGCCTCCGTTCTGTACAACTACATTGATACTCAGACCAAGTTCTACGTCGTTCCTTGGTTCGGTCTGGCCGGTATGCTTCTCACCTGGCTCTTCCTTCCCGACACCACTGGCCTCGATCTCAAGGAGCAGGAGCGCCGTTGGACCTACATCCGCAGCGGCAGGGAGTCTGAGTACCACGGCGTTGCCGTCCATCCCGAGCATCTCAGTCTGTGGGAGCGCATTCGCGGTGTTGGCAAGTACTATGACGCTGAGAAGGACCACAAGGCTCAGATCGAGGACATGCGCAAGGAGTGGGAGGACAGACAGGCGGAGCAAGGCGAGAAGGAGCCTGAGGTCTGGGAGGACCACGACCTGTTCTCCGAAGAGATCCACGGATACTTCAAGGGCCAGCACAAGGGCAAGGAGTCCACCGGCGGCATCATGGCGAATGACGTCGATGCCTCAGAATCATCGTCCGCGAGAGAAAAGGAGACCGGTGATGAGATCCAGTCAACCCCGACTGTGGAAGAGACGCGCGATTCACACCTTAACGAGAAGCAAGGTTAATGGGAAGAAGGAGCAGTGCATAATTAGGAGTATAAAAATGGGCTTGGAGTTTTATAGGCGGCTTCTTGGCATCAAAACGGGTTTTGGGTAGATGCATACATACCTAGCATGGCGTATTAGACGCCTGAATATCTATGACTTATTATGATCACACAAACATCTGTTCCCCTCAGACCTCGATTTGCAGAATGGTGTGAGAATACCAGTGGCACCGGCACAACGAAGGTTTTCTCACCTTTCACGGTCCCAGACTACATAGATGACTTGACACTGACATATCATCACATACGACCATACCCACTGGAGAACTCGGGATCCCGTCCGCTCTCCCATAGATAAGCCAGTGAGAGCTGGAGTAGTAGTCAGGTCGGTGACGACTGGCGAATGCCCGGTGTTGTATGTTTTTTTTTCCAGCGATATCAGCTTTTTCCGCAGTCGAGGTTGAAGCTTGGCGGGCGACGATGTCAACGTTGGAGTTCATGCAATGTAGCCTAACCAAATGGTATAACCAAACATTTTGTCTGGCGGGGCCTTTTTGAGTAAAGAGCGGTGAATTGGCCGTACTGTTTTCAGGGAATGTGTAAGTTGTTTAAAGTCTGTAGCGCCTATTGAGTTGATGCTAGAGTGTCCATCTATTCTACCACAAGTAAGCAATATAATCAAGAAACCAAACAGAAGTTGCCTGCCTAAGTAAGTAAGTTGAACTAGGATGAAGAGATTATATGTTCCTCACAGTACAGTGGTTGTCTTGTGCTATCATCATAGTTGCGAGAGATATTAATGTGATACCCTGAGCATATCGACACATTCGTTACTTTTAAGAAGATATTGAAAAATTTGCTCTACGGACGAAACAAGCTTTCTTCAGTCTTTTCCCCGGGACTTTGTTCTTTCTCCTCCGCCGTTGCGCCGAGAGAAACGACATTCGCTCTCTCCAGCCGGTCACACTGTGACCGCCACGGCGTGGCACCCAGGGGTCTTTCTGGTCCACTGTGGTCACCCAGCTAAGCTTTTGCTCCTGCGCTGCCATGTAGCTGGTTGCGTGTCGTTCTGTCGACTTGAATGTACGGGAAACCCATGCTCTGACTAGATCCCACTTGCAGCCGTACATGAACGCCAGCCCAACGACCCCAAATGTGACAGACAGGGCCGTGGACCAGAACATCCTTTGGTCATACGTCGTGTCCCTGACAACGGTCGTGTTCATTCCGAAAAAGCTTGTCACGAACGACCTAGAGGGAATAGTCAGCTTCTAGAGTTACAAGTAGAAAGACACGTGTGGCTTACAATGGCAGGAAAAACAGTGTCACGATGGTGAAAACCCGAATCGCCCTCCCGTGACCCTTGTCAAGTATCTCGACCCTCTGCTTCGTATCGTCCCTCAGGAACCGGCTTCTCTTTCACAGGATCCAGAGGGCTCTTTCGCGCTCAGCTAGCCACCTTAGCTGCCTACGGATACTTTTGCTCTCAAGTCTGAACACTGATTTTCTCTCTCGGTAATAGAACCAATCGGTGGTCGGGCATTTGAAAGTCAGGGGGGAGAGAGCTTCTGATGGGCTCTCCAGAGCTCTCGCTGCGAATCAACCACCATCTGAAGAGCTTCCAGCTCCTCCTCGTCCACACGAATGCATTTCTCTTGGGTCGTCTGTTGATTTCAAACCGAAGTCTGGCCGTGTGGTTCCTGTAGTGGCTGATGAGGTCGAATCGCTTCTCGGTCCCACGTACCAGTATGTGGTTCTGCAAGTTGCTGATCAGCGACGCGGCGAGGAATTCAGGCCCGATGGGCGCTATGACGATCCTTTCCACGTCGCGCTTGCTGGTGCCCAACAACATGATGTCCTCTTTGGCGCGGTTTAGGGGACCCCGGGCCTTTTCCGAGATAGCGTCGCTGGTTCTCCTGAGTTGTTCCAAACGTCGTTGGGCATGTTGGCCGCATGTTGCGTCGAACTTGAGGGCGAATCTGTTCAGCCAGGACAACTCTTTGGCTTTCAGCACGAAGAAGCTGACGATGCGTTCAAAGGCCTCGACCAGGCTGCTGGTGAGATGGGGTCTGCTGCCGTTGTGATTGAGCAGGTCGTCCGAGCCAGCACGCTTGTGACCAACTTGTGGAGTTCCTCTGCCCTCTCAACCAAGTCCTGCATATCGGATTGAAAGATCAGACTGCTTGAAAATGCTGCGCTCCTGAGCCCGGTCATGCTCGGGCGGTCGTTGGTATCGGGGACCATTTGGTAGATACAGACGAAACAAGGGTCGTCGAAAGGCCTGCCTCGTTTCGTTCGACGGGGACATGCGTTGTTGGCATGGTGTTCGTGCCAGTGGTCGAGGGCGTCGTCTGGTTACTGGTACCTTTTCCCATTGTCGCGTTCCTGGCATCGAGAATGTGCCGTTGCGTTTTTCTCGTAGGATGAATCCTCGAGCGGAACAGGGGCAGAGTTCGGTTTCAACACAAACCAAGGCTAGTCTTCTCGTTCATAGGACGTACCAATCGCTCAAAAGAGCCCCTATGTAACTTTAGTAAAGGAAGTGATGTGTGAAAGAGTTCGTCTTGCCCTTGAGATTGTGTCGACCGAGCCCCAGAAGCGTCTATACAACGGATGTGAAATGATTCCTCCATCATGAGGCAGGAATGCGGACAGCAGATTTCCAGAGACGCGGATCAATTCTGAAAGAGTAGAATTGTTGATTTCTAGTCCTCGCTTCTGGTTCGCAAAGGGTCTACATCGAGACAAAAGCTTTCGGTTGACGCCTCAGATTGCGGCTGGCTGCAGCTCTCGTTGTCCACAAGTGGCCCCGATTTCGACTGTCCAAGACTTCGACTGTCCAAGATCATTGGCGCTCTCTCCTTCCGAGGCATCATGCCTCAAAATGCTGTCGAATCGCTCCATGACTTCGCTCTCGCTGCACTGGAATGACGCTTATACCACTCCCCAAACTTGTCCTCTCTCAAGGGAAATTTTCAGATTGTCCAGCAACTGCGAGAGTGTTTTCTCAATCTCCGTTCGGTGTCTCTTGTCGTCGCTCCACGTCAATCTCCAAGCGAGGCACGGAACGAAGCCCACATCGGCAAAGTCAAGGGGCGGCAGTCGTGTAAAAAATTGATTGGCCGAGTATGTGCCGCCAACGGGTTCCTTTCTGGTTTTATTCGCAGATCCCGCGTAGCTCGAGCTTCTTTCGAAAGATTTGCGTGGTTTATACCAACGACAATAGCATTCTGGATCTAGAGGAGAATCCCGGGCATACACGAAGGATGAGCCCCGGGAGGAGTTTCGCTGTTGTCCGCGTCGCCGTCCATTACCATAAAGGTGCATTACTGGATATGATGCTTCGGTTCCAAACGATATGGACCGGGTCATTCTTCCGAAATGGCATTGTAAATCTAGTCTCCTCCACGTTTTTGGAGACCATATCTTCCCGCCGAGAAACGGAGCGTCTTCTCTTCATGCCAGGTGTTCAGTCAGTGACTTTGTCAAAGATTTGCTATCTCGGACAGTTCCAACTTACCGTTTCTTGTTGCTGAATATTCGGCATCCACTTGCTTGTCAAGTCCAAAGAGTTCAGGCACTTCAGCTTATCCAGCATTTTCACGGGACCAGGGGGTGCTGGCTTGTCTGGTGCCGGAGCTGAGTTCTGAGAAAGCCATCGTCAGGCCAATTGTGCCATCGAGTGGCGGATCTTCGTCGCCCGAATGAGATTCAAAAAAACAATGCGTCGTCATCGTCGTTATTGCGATTGTGATTGTCAATCTCAGTACTGCCACATGAAAGGCTCGGCGAGTCGGCACGATACCCACGCATCCCGGGATGCAAAACCATTGCCATGTTCAATCAGGATCCTATGAGTTCTGATCGGAAGGAGCTTTCCAAGTTTCATGAATTTTGAGATTCCGGAACCACATCAGAGTAGCCCTCACATCCGGCGCGAGTATCTGCCAAGACTACTCCGGCTGGTTGTGGCGAGAAGCTTCGGAAAGCAAGTTTAGCCACATATCTGTGGTAAACAACAGACCAAATCGGTTGACGAGCACATAGGCCGTCACATTCGATCGCTTTTGACCCTTAGAAGCCAGTGCCAAGGCTTGTTTCATAAAATCCCGGGACAATCAGCAACACCACCACGATGAGAATGTTAAGGCAAACTGCGACTAACTACGTACTTCCAGCTTGAATTTATGACCAAATGGTAACGGCACATGTCTTTCTCATCGATAAGCCTGATTGTGAATGTCCTTTCTGATGACGTTGTCGTGTTAATCGAGATGAGATTCTGCTGCATTTCTGATGAGGACAATCCAGAGTAAGTGATGATCAAGTCTGAAAGAATGAAAAGTGGTCAGGAGAACTCGTGGAGTGTCATAACTGGCTGGTGGACGTATCATACCAAAACCCAGCACTAAAGTCCAAACTTGTGATGCTTGTATCAACAAAGACTTAGATCCGCCTAGGTCGACATTCTGGGCACCCTGGCTGGTATCATGTGATGTCCCATCTTCATAACCATATAACACTTCACGGAGCGTTCTCTTGTAGTGATTCCCTAGGTGCTTTTTGCCGGCAAGTTTGTCCTCCAGAAGAAGATACTTTGCAGAGATGAAGGTGACGGGCTCCGTATTGGACATGTCCTCGTCTGAATATCTGCCGAGACTGCTATTGAACCTACCGATGTACTGAATCATTGGACCAGACTCAATATAAGTCCCCATTGTCCACAAATTCTTGACATCTTGTTTGCATTCTTGTCTTTATCGAAGCCGCTGACATTCAATACTCTAACTCAGGAACATGGAAAGGGTTGGCCCCAATTCCAGATCGAACGTTGGAAAACCTTACGGGACAGACTTTGCAGGACAGTTCCAGTTTCTTGAAGTTTCCACGAAGAACTCTTCCTTGGGTCCCAGAAGAGAGGGCCTCTGCGAGAGATCTTCTTGGAGACCCTTGGCTGCGAGGAGTATGTTCCCTGGGATAGAGCTGACAGACTCGAACGGATAGATGAGCAGACAGAGAAGAACTCATACACTCCAGTCAACTGATAGTCTACCAATTTCCCGCTAAATTGTTGTTTGCTTCCAAAAGAAAACGAACGGCCGATTTAAAGAAACCAACTTTAGTATAGGGCTGGGTATTTTTCAAACCATTGATCGAAAATTGAAGTCAGTGTGAATGAGCCATATCTGACGGGTAACCAACCTGATATCTATCTCATCAGACTCCGAAATGACGGAGCCACGACCGATTCACCTTCATGCACGAATGAAACCTCCCCGGATACGATCGCTGCAAAAGCTCACGTCACGGTATCTATCGCCCGGGGTCCCTCAGGCATCATAGCGCACCTACTTCAGGAATACCTCAGTACATCAGCTCCACCATCCAACGACAAAGTCGATTGCACATGTGATGACACTGCCGAAGCCGCGCGGGTAGCGAAAAAAACCCACAGGACCCCGAGCGCTGGGTTTGAGGAAGCTTAGTAATTCACATTAAGCCACCTAGACCGCCTGAGAAGCCGAGAGACTTGGAGCGATGAGGATGTTACTGAAGCCACTTGTAGCGTCGATCTGAGGCGAATCAACTACTGACCTGAATCGCCTGTCAATCAATTGAACGAAGGGTAACTGGGAAGAAACAAACAGGCATACCAGGGTTGTTGAGTGGTGACGGCTCTACACTGTAGGCGATGCCCCCGTTGCAGAAAGTGGGGTGTTTTTGGAGGGGTACCTAAGACTGCACCGGAAGCTCCGCAGAGCTTCCGAAGTTTCACTCAACACCTCACCTAACAAACCAACTGCTTGGTAATAAAGAACACATCCTATCGACACGCTTGATTCAAGTAGAGAAACCTAACACAATTGCAGCGCAAAACAGATTCATTATGTTCACGGGCATTGTCGAAGAGATCGGAGGTCTGAATCCATCCCCTCACTTGTTGACTCATATATTCTCATCCCTCGACTCCCTCAGTCAACTAATACGCACCCAGTCGTCTCCGAGCTGAACCCGAACGATGAGACGGGCGGCACCTCTCTCAAAATCTCCCTTCCGGAGACCTCCAACCTCCTCGCAGACTGCAACCTCGGCGACTCTATCGCCATCAATGGCGTCTGCCTGACGGTGACTCAGTTCGAGACCTCCCCGCCCTACTTCAAGGTCGGCGTCGCCCCCGAGACCCTCCGCATCACCAACCTGGGTTCTCTGGCGCAGGATTCGCGCGTTAACCTCGAACGAGCCGTCCGCGCCGACACCCGCATGGGCGGCCACTTCGTCCAGGGACACGTCGACACCACCGCCACCATCCTGGCCGTCACGCCGGACGGCAACGCCTTGACTTTCCGCTTTGGACCACGTGATGCGGCTGTGTTGCGCTACATTGTCTACAAGGGCTATGTTGCGCTTGACGGCACCAGCTTGACTGTTACCAAAGTGAACGACGAGGAGGGCTGGTGGGAGGTTATGCTCATCAGCTACACCCAGGAGAAGGTCGTCGTTGCTGGGAAGAAGCCGGGCGACACAGTCAACGTCGAGGTCGACATGATGGCCAAGTACGCCGAGAAGAGCTTGGCGGGCTTCCTGAGCGGATCCGGAGGCGTCCCCCTCGAAAAGATGGTGGAACGGATCGTCGCTGCGGGACTAGGTGGCAAGTCTTGAGCGCTGATATTTTGGTTCAGGAACACGCCTTGCTTCTTTTCCTTGCTTCTGAGAGCTAGCCATACAACAGTCATGACCCAACATGCTTGATTTGTACAATGCTTGCGCGGTAAATCCCATCTAGTACTTCATGATTCGCTTCACGCATCGCCCCAAACTTCTGCGAGTCGTTGGCTGACGGCTTTGGGTATTTTCTTCCGACCCACGAGGTTAGGCAGTCCACTTATGACCATTTCCCGCTTTCTCTTGGTCCCCTGCTCGCCCGAGCCACACTCTTCAAACGCCTTTATCAAATCATGAGGCGTCTTCCACTTCTTCTGAATCTCTAGCGCCTTCTCCCCTGTTATGCCCCTTGTCGTCATGAGCATCTTAAGGTATATGTCTCGTAATGTCATCATGTCGGACTTTGACGCGAGAGATGCGAATGCCGGGTACGTGATGTAGTAACCGGTCGATGGTTCTTTCTCGCGAAGATGCTGGAGTAGCGGTAGGTAGTTCTGCGCGGTCAAGACCGTGGTGGGGATCACCAACAGGGGCTTTCGCTCATACATCTTCTTGAGCATGAATGTCATCCGCGTCAGATAGCGAATGGTGTCGTCCATCTTCTGTGTCTTCTTAAGAAAGTAGCCATTAACCACCTGGGTCGACGCTATTGAAGACTGAATCATCTCCTCGACCTTCTGAAAGTAACTAGAATCCATGGAAATCTCTTCGATGATGTAGATGACGTTTTTGACGCCGGACTTTCGCAAGCGAAATTTCTGTTCGTGGAAACGGCCGTCTTTGACGCTGCCGACCAAGTCGTCGAGCCGCTTGCGCTCAACAATCCAATCAAGGACCACTTCGTCTCCTTCTGCGCCGTGGCGGGACAGGGCAGCGGGATCGTGACATTTTGCAATCCACTGGGCATCGCCGATTTCCAAAGCCCGCACCAGAGGTTTGACGCCCTTCTTGGTCAATTCTTCTTGCATATAGTCGCGATCCTTCAGTGCTCGGACTTCGCGATTGTCCAGTGCCAAGTGAACTGTGAACGAGCCTGGGAGCAACCGGATTGGGGTGAATTTGGGTAGTGACGCATTGTCTGCAATGCCTGGGCCATTCGAAACGACCCCTTCATATTGTGATGAAGGCTTTGACTGCTCAATCGGTTCAACAGAGACAGAAGCCTCTCTCCCAATTTGGTTGACCACCGGATCCGGCCTGACGGATTCCGTGCGGGTGCTTGGTCCAGCAGGGATGTCATCTGCTTGCTCGCCCTCTGTTGTTTTTTTGATCCGCCTGGCAACGTCCCAGCCGTCGTCCGTTAGGGAGTAGCGTCTTTGCGGGCGGCCTTTTTCGCATACCAGATCCTTGTCAATCAATGTCTTCATCGAGTTCCAGGCCGTGTAGAACTTGGTAGGATCACTCGGCGCGGTAAAGGATGAATCGCAGTTTTCTTGGGCAAGTTCAATCAACTTCGTCTTGGTCATGCCGAGGGAGGCATCTTCGTCCAGGGTAGCGAGGGCCAGGATGAGAGCGTAAGGGCCTGAACGATATGTTGGGACGTATGGCTTGGCCTTACGTGCTTTCTTTGGTGGAGGAGCGGGCTCATCTTCTTCAGCGGCAGCGCCAAGAGATGCGCGGTCTTCCTTAGATAACCGAGGATTCTTGGGCATGGGTAGACCGTTGGCTTCGCAGTGCTCCTTCAATTTGTCCGTAAGGCGAGACGATAGCTTGTCTCCAAAGCCTTTGAGCTGGACCAGCTGGCGTGGATGCTTGAAAGTGATGGGGCATGCCTTCAACGACTCGTAGGCATTCCTATAGGTTGTGACGCTCTTCATGCCTCGCTCTCTGGCGGTATCCAGCCACTCCTTGACCCAGTCGAGGAGCAGGGGGTTCGCATATTGCTCATGTTCGCCAGCCATGGTGCTAACGTGATGGAGGAGTGCTGAGTCGTTCCAAGCGGGCCATCACCGAGGGCTGAGTGTCATCTGCAGCGTCGCCTGCATCATCTCTCGGTGTGAGGAATGCGAGAGATTGTCCGGAGGCAAACAAGGCCAGCCGGAAAGGAGAAGATGCAAAGAAAAAGGGCCAAAATCGGAACGAAAGGCCGTGACGCGTTGACGCGAAGACTTGTTCGAGGCTAGTAGATTGCGCTCACGAAGGCACGTGACTCGTACGAGATCTCTGCACGGACTACCGGCTGATCTGAGTCCCCAGAAGGAGGATGGGCGGGGCTTCCGAAGGAGGGGCTCTCAGGTCTGACAACCCCACTCCTTCCAGTGTGGTACTGTGGTTGCGGTGTGTTGCGTGGTTGGTATTGATGCCGCATCCATCTGACTTGCATGATTGATTGCATCAGGACGGGCAGGCAGTGTCAACTGGCAGGCGAGGCCTGCCTGCTTGCTGGTGCCCACCATGGGCACGCACTCGGGCAGGTAGCAACTACATATCCGTACCTACCTTAGCTAGGTAGGCACGTAGGTAAGGTAGGCAGGTAAGCTACGGATACCTGCCTTGCCCACCTACCTTACCTTACCTGAGGTAAGCAATGGCGGGGAGCTTTGTTGAAGCCAGGTGCACCCACTGTTGAGGTGAGGTGAGGAAGCGTGGGGAGAAGCTGGGCGTGGAGTGGCGGTCCAGGTGCAGCCCAGGTCTCACAGAGAGAAAACACTGGAATGGCGGCCTCCACGTCACTAGCAACCCGTCACCGTCGCTGCTATTGTCGTCGTCGCCGTCGCCGTCGTCGTCCTTGATCGTCGCCCTCTCCCCCCCACTGTTTTCCGTCAACGTCCCTGGTATTCTTCCCCTGCTTTAATTCACTCTTTACGTCCCCAATCGCTTCTCCGCTGTCGCTGTCAATCGTCACTTCCAAACAACAACCACCACCACCATCACCCGCTATGGATGACAAGATCATTGCCGCTTCGCAGAAGCACCCCATCGTCCCAAACCATACCTTCAAGTATGGCACTGCGGGGTTCCGGATGAAGGCCGATCTTTTGGACGGAGTCACCTTCCGCGTCGGCCTCCTCTCCGGCCTCCGCAGCCGCAAGCTTAACGGTCAGACCATTGGTGTCATGATTACGGCCAGCCACAACCCCGCCGCCGACAATGGTGTCAAGATTGTTGACCCTATGGGTGATATGCTTGAGCAGGAGTGGGAGTCGTATGCTACCAAGCTTGTGAACAGCTCCTCTGATCAGGAGCTTGTCGAGAACTACAAAGCCCTGGCTTCCCAGCTGCGCATCGACCTCTCTTCTCCCGCCCGCGTTGTCTATGGTCGAGACACTCGCCCCTCGGGCCACAAGCTCGTCGCTGCCCTTGCCGACTCCTTCGAGGCCACCAACACCGAATACACCGAC